ACAGGCTGTGTCAGCGTACAATATATTATTTTCCTATGTTTCCAATAAACTTTAATGGAAAAAAATATATTATTCACAGGACAGAAATTACCTGGACCGCAGATATAAGGCCACATGGAAATAGAAAAGAAAGTACTATGATTTAATGTTGAAAATCATGTCCTATTGTCTAAAGAAATTGTGTTTTTTATTCTCATTGTGGTGTCCGAATCTGCATTGCGTATCGAGTCTATCTCTTATTATCGAAATCGAGCTTGAAATGTTAAATGTCTTGTTTTCATGTCAACAAGAATCACATTTCACAACATTTCAGAGAGTTTGTAAAGATCTAAACTTCAGGATTCCCAGTTTTTAGTCCGAACACGATAATAGATTTAGTTTGCGATTTGCCGATTGTCCGTCCAAATTGCGATTTCGCTTCAGTCGTGTTTCATCTCGCAGCCTCAGAAGTCATATCGACGCGCTATGTCTGATTTCAGTGATGCAGAAACACGCTGATTTGAAGACGGTCGTGATAAGTGATAAGAAGAGACAAGAGAAAACCTACTTCACTTTCATTCACAGATTAGAATCTATACGATACGTGCTACCGTAATGTACTGTAACGGTTCTTTTTCTCTTCTTCAGCTGCAATTAAGTGAAATAATTTTGCTTTAAAGTTAGTTATCATTGTGAGATTGCATTACATAGTGGCTGTTACGTGTGGATTTTACTTCTGTGTCCCTTCGTTTTGGCGCTGACGAAGATCTTTTCTATTTTCGGATCTAAGTTCTAATGTTTCCTCATCACAAACAGACCTGGAGTTGTGGTTTGTTTCATTCACAAATGTTTAATACACAAACCCTGCGTGGTTAGTTCTTCTCTCACACAGAAAACACACAGTTCCGTGTCATGTGATGATACAGAAAGCGCTCCACTCTGTTTTTAAACTGTATAAGCCTTCACAAGAATCATTTGGATCACTTCAGCCCTAGAATTACCAATCTCTTTGGGAAAAAAGAAGGTAAAAGGTAGATACTAACTTGAAAATAAGCACTTTTATGACATCACAAGGTGGAACAGAGCATTTTGAGATTTGGAGATGTAGACTAGAGTGACCAGACGTCTTTATTTACCCGGGATAGTTCCAGTTTTGAGCCCGGTGTCCTCTGTCCAAGCAGATTTATCCAAAAATTTGTCCAATTTGTCCCAGTTTTGTCCATATTTTGACCAATCTGATCCTTGCCGACAGTAAAAAGAGGCAAAAATTGTCGTTTTTTTCAATGAAATACAGAAAAGCTCCTTAAAAATGACCAAAACACAAAGAAAATGCAACTATACTGACTAACATTAGTGCTGAGTGCATGACAATTTTCCTTAATTACACACTCGTTTCGCAATTTTTTTTATTACCACCAAATTTTTTGATAATCTGGTTACCCAAATGTAGATAGACTATAATTAGGTTGGGTATAATTATAATTAGATAATAAACGGTCACACAACACAACTCCAGGTCTGTTTCTGATGAGTTGACAACATTCTAACATGACTTAAGTCCATTTTGTGAAATTAAAACTACCTCATTGATAAAACAAACCGACTTTCTTTCAAATAATCACATATAAACACAAACACGCAAAGATATTCCGCGTAAAACTAGAAGCACGCTCTTGTTTTTGCAACCAAGATCTAACAAAATAACCAAAATAACTAGACTGGGGCTGCACACACACAGACAGACAGTACTGGAAGTATTTAGCGTGCACTATGAAAACACTGCAGGTGCTTCTCAAACAGTGAAAGTCAACACAGAACAAACAGCTTTGCTCCAACGCACATGAAAACTGTTCAACCAAGCATTAGAAGTTGATTATAGACCAACTGAACTCTGCTCACTGCAATTTATATAACGAGAACATTGCAGAAACGTGGAAATTGTGGGAGAAATTGAATCGAATTGTCATTTTTTTTGTTTTTGCAGTTACGAATATCTTCAAACTTCACATTTTAAACGTTCCCAGAAGAACTGACAACACAAGAATCCCATTTCACAACATGTTTATGCAGATTTAAACTACAAGATAATCAGTTTTCACGCAGAATAAGTTGTTGTTTGTGGAAAAAATGACGGCACTTCAAAAATTTCAGCCTTAGGATTGGGATTAGCCCTAATAGAAATGCTTTAATATTACAAATATTTCATCTAAAGCCACAGTGTGTAACTTCTGAGTCAAAAACACACCAAAATAAAAGCAGCTTTTATTATTATGGATTCGTTTATTGCATTTAAAGGACCCATATTACGCAATTTTCTTGTTTTCAGACCTGGAGTTGTGTTTTGTTTAACACACAAACCCCGCAAATATAGATATTTCGAGTTCTTCTCTCAAGCAGAAGACGCTCTGGTCCACCTTGTGATGTCTCCACTGTGTTTTTAAACTGCACACACCTTCACTAGAATCATTTGGACAATTTCAGCCAATTCTCAAATGAACAAAAGGTAAAAAGAGCTGTGGAGCAGAGCATTTTGAGCTTTGGCGATGCAGACAGATGAATTAATAATAAAGTATTACTCAAATGTGTGAACGAAACACAACTCCAGGTCTGTTTTTGATGATTTAACAACATTATAACGTGACTTAAAGCTCAAAAGAGTAAATTTTTGCGGAATATGGGACCTTTAAAAACCGAGAAAAACATGTGGCCTTACTCTGAGCGGGCTTGCATCTCCACAAACCTGACTCTACTGCTTGTTTTGGCTATCACCTTCCACAATTCATCAAACAAATATATCTCTAAGTAAAGTTTGAACCTTTTATTTCCACGCAGACGACTTTCCACCTCCAGAAGTTACAGATCATTCCTTCAAAAACCCTCTAAGTCTCATTTTTCTTCGCTTGAGCTCATCTTTTTTCCAGCGTATCTGCTCCTGTCCGACCACTCCCGCCCGCGCGCCCCCCCCAGCACGCAACGTCTCCACATCGCCGCAAGATAAACACGCCCTTATCGTCGCGTCCTCCGGGTCAGGGTTGCTCAACGTTCGTTCCTCGGAGGACCACTCGAGCGGCGTTGAGCAAACATGGGCCGGTCCGCTCCTCCTCTCCTTCCCTTTCCTCTCGTCTCGGCCCGGTGCAGTTCTACGGGTTCCACTGCTCCTGTTGATTCTGCAGGACTGGCACTACAGGTGGATTCAGTGAGTCAGCTGATACACCCTCGGGCTCATCGCTCACCAATGTGTCGCCAACAGTGCACAGAGAGTTACTCGGAAAGCGTCATCAATCAAAGGGCCCGTATTTCGCCATTTTACGATCGACTTTGGGACGCTGCTCCCTTGTCGCAAACGTAGCTAGAGTTGTGTTTTGTTTCATTCATGTTTAATCTTGTCATTCTCAATCAAAAAAACACTCCAGCTTCCAACTCCTGAAGGGCTCCATTGGGTTTTTAAACTCCATACACCTTCAGGAGAATCATTTGGATGGTTTCAGCTCTGGAATTGCCGATCTCGAAGGTAAAAAACTTGAAAATGACCACTTCATGATTTCAAATTTCACTTCACAAGGTGGAACAGGGCATTTTGAGGTTTGGAGATGTTGATAATAATAATAAAAAAGTTGCTCAAACACGTGTGAATGAAACAAAACACAACGCCAGGTCTGTTTTTGATGACAATTTCGTGTAATATAGGATCTTTAAACATAACGAGTAACGAAAACGGCATTACTTTGGGATTAATAAACGTGTAATATTGTACTAATGAATCAAATATGTGCATTTCATTCAAGACATTTAAATAAAGCTAAAAAACTTGTTTAAAGAGTCATTTAAATGGTCTCAAATGGCATAACACCGATAATAGAAATGGGAAGAAGAAGTCTAAGTTCAAGTCTAACTATAATTTAGTTTCTGCTGGACTTCTCGATCGTGATTTCTAAACGAAATAGATCCAAACTACTCAAAACATCTCATCTGAAGTGAATTCGATATTGATTCTTACAGCGAGCGTGTGTTCAAAGTTGATTTTAGTTGGTTCAATACGTCAACACATTGGCGTTTTAGATAAATTTATAGATACTTAATTGATAAAAAAACGTCCATGTGGCTCATTCACACATTTTCACACACAATAAAATAAACAGGTCTTAAGTATAATCACTGAAATATAGTAAATAAATGCTTGTGGGATAGATTGTGGTACAGATTAGAATTACAGAACAGTTGAAGCAATCAGATTCAGTTTTTACGATAATGTTCAATGTCAACACGTGGTTGGTTGGTTCGTTGATTGATTAGTTTGTGCTCAAGCCCACCAAGATCGAGCCAAAAAGTACTATTACTTCAAAATAGTAGGAATACAAAGTAGTGGTCTATGAAAAGTAAGAATAAAAAGGTATTTGGGAGAACTACTACTACTAAAAGGACGTAATACCTGATTTATGATTAAAGTTAATGTAATTTGAAGGACAAAACATGAAAATAATGCACAAAATCTGGTATTTTTAAATAAAAATTAGACAAACTAAGTCATGTCTGAACCTGCGGTACAAGAAACACAATGCGCAAATCATTTCATGTTGACAAAATAAAGCTTTTGTCACTTGTAGACTCACAGTAGGAACCGAAACTTTTGCTAGAGTAAGAGTACTGTTTCTGTTACTCAATTTCATTCAAAAGTTACTTCAGTGAGAGCGAATATCACTGCGTACTGACTCTACAGGTACTTCTAACTCTCAAGTACTGATGTCAAGTTCATTCAGAGCGCAGCGTGACGTCCCGGTAACCTCCACTCACCTATAACTATAAACACTTCAACGGGACTGCTTCAATTACAGATTACAAAACCACCTGCACGTACTTCTCTCGTATGTACTTTATCCATTGTGTGTGTTTGTTTATCTAGATATCATAGCTTCCCATTGCAAACAGCATGAATCACAGCTTTAAATACCCACATGACACTTGTTTGGGAGTCAAAAAACGGCGCGACGGGAGAGCTGCCGAGGCGACTTGGAACTACTTACGCGCTGAGTTTGACCGGAGACGGCTTCTTGGACATCTTCGGCGGCTCCGCACACACGCTCGCACACGCTCTTTCTCTCGCTCTGTCTCCTTGCGTCTTCCTCGTAGTCCTTCTCTCTCTCTGTGTGTGTGTGTGTGTGTGCGGTGAGAGAGGGGAGAGTTCCACCTGTTGCGTGGCGGAGCTCCTCCCAGGGCAGAGGTTGGAGGTGTGACAGCAGGAGTGTCGTCAGCGCAGGCAAGTCAGGTACAGGAGCAGACCGGGCGGACCTGTTCCACCTCTTCTCCGCCGCCGCCGCCGCGCACACACACACACACACACACACACACATTTCTGGGAGCTCTTCCTTCATGCATGCCTTCTGGTGGTGGTAACCCGAGCTGGCTTTCCCTGTAAGGACTTTAGGGCAATTAAGAAGACAAAGAAGGTTTTACGAGGGCTGTGCATATATTTGTGTGAATGAACGTTCTATTGTGCTTAAACTTGAATGTGCATCTGAGGACTTGAGGACTTTCTGAGGATAGTACTGTATATTTATTCTGTACTGTCTTATTACTAGTAGCCTACACTCTGCCGGGTTTGAAAGAAAAAGTATGGACAGGCCACGGCACATGTTGAACCTCCAGAATTCACCCACCGAGCTGCAGGGGCTGCACTAGCACTGATTCATGACTGCTTCCGAGTGTTGTGTTTTTGGTAGTGACTGTTCAGATCAGAGAGAAGCATTTTAGATTTAAACCAACTGGATTTAAACATTGAAACTGCAACCCAGATGAGAGACTAATGTGGGGTTGATTCTGTTTTCTGATTGGATAACCAAAATATCAAATTATAGCATAAACAACTTGGTCCAGTGTTTCTATAATTGAGAGTAAATCAGCATTACATTTGCTGCAAGTAAAAGATCATCTCACTTGATCATCTAACTCTGGGGACACAAGTAGGTCTTGTTTTAGAAATCTTACATAAAAAACTCCACACCCTGCCTTTAAAGGTGCACTAACCTCTCAAGGATAAAGGAGCACAAACTTTTCTAATATAAAGGAGCACTAACTTTTCTAGCATAAAGGTGCACTAACTTCTTTAGTATAAAGGTAAATTAACATATTTAGCATAAAGGTGCACAATTTTTTCTAGTATAAAGGTGCACTACCATCTCTAAAGGTGCACTAACATTTTGAGTATAAAGGTGCACAAACTTCTCTAATATAAAGGTGCACTAACTTTTCTAGTATAAAGGTGCACTAATGTCTCTAGTATAAAGGTGCACGAACTTCTCTAGTATAAAGATGTACTAACTTTTCTAGTGTAAAGATGCACTAAATAACTTTTTAGTATAAAGATGCACTAACGTCTCGAGTATAAAGGTGCATCAACTAACTTTTCTAGTATAAAGATGCACTAATGTCTCAAGTATAAAAGTGCACTAACATCTTTAGTAAAAAGGTGCACTAACTTCTCTAGTATAAAGGTGCACTAACTAACATCTCTAGTATAAAGGTGCACCAACTAATGTCTCTAGTATAAAGTTGCACTAACTTTTCTAGTATAAAGGTGCATCAACTAACTTTTCTAGTATAAAGATGCACTAACATCTCTAGTATAAAGGTGCACTAACTAACGTCTCTAGTATAAAGGTGCACCAACTAATTCTCTAGTATAAAGGTGCACCAACTAACTTTTCTAGTATAAAGGTGCACTAACATCTCGAGTATAAAGGTGCACTCACTTTTCTAGTATAAAGATGCACTAACGTCTCTAGTATAATGGTGCACTAACTAACATCTCTAGTATAAAGGTGCACCAACTAATGTCTCTAGTATAAAGGTGCACTAACTTTTCTAGTATAAAGGTGCATCAACTAACTTTTCTAGTATAAAGTTGCACTAACTTTTCTAGTATAAAGGTGCATCAACTAACTTTTCTAGTATAAAGGTGCACTAACATCTCGAGTATAAAGGTGCACTAACTTTCTAGTATAAAGGTGCACTAACGTCTCTAGTATAAAGGTGCACTAAATAACTTTTCTAGTATAAAGGTGCACTAACTTTTCTAGTATAAAGATGCACTAATGTCTCAAGTATAAAAGTGCACTAACATCTTTAGTAAAAAGGTGCACTAACTTTCTAGTATAAAGGTGCACTAACGTCTCTAGTATAAAGGTGCACTAACTAACGTCTCTAGTATAAAGGTGCACTAACATCTCGAGTATAAAGGTGCACTAACTAACGTCTCTAGTATAAAGGTGCACCAACTAATTCTCTAGTATAAAGGTGCACCAACTAACTTTTCTAGTATAAAGGTGCACTAACAGCTCGAGTATAAAAAAGGTGCACTCACTTTTCTAGTATAAAGGTGCACTAACGTCTCTAGTATAATGGTGCACTAACTAACATCTCTAGTATAAAGGTGCACCAACTAATGTCTCTAGTATAAAGTTGCACTAACTTTTCTAGTATAAAGGTGCATCAACTAACTTTTCTAGTATGAAGGTGCACTAACATCTCGAGTATAAAGGTGCACTAACTTTTCTAGTATAAAGGTGCACTAACGTCTCTAGTATAAAGGTGCACTAAATAACTTTTCTAGTATAAAGGTGCACTAACTTTTCTAGTATAAAGATGCACTAATGTCTCAAGTATAAAAGTGCACTAACATCTTTAGTAAAAAGGTGCACTAACTTTTCTAGTATAAAGGTGCACTAACGTCTCTAGTATAAAGGTGCACTAACTAACGTCTCTAGTATAAAGGTGCACTAACATCTCTAGTATAAAGGTGCACTAACATCTCTAGTATAAAGGTGCACTAACTAACGTCTCTAGTATAAAGGTGCACCAACTAATTCTCTAGTATAAAGGTGCACCAACTAACTTTTCTAGTATAAAGGTGCACTAACATCTCGAGTATAAAGGTGCACTCACTTTTCTAGTATAAAGGTGCACTAACGTCTCTAGTATAATGGTGCACTAAATAACTTTTCTAGTATAAAGGTGCACTAACATCTCGAGTATAAAGGTGCACTAACTTTTCTAGTATAAAGATGCACTAACGTCTCGAGTATGAAGGTAAACTAACTAACTTCTCTAGTATAAAGATGCACTAACTTTTCTAGTATAAAGGTGCACTAACGTCTCTAGTATAAAGATGCACTAACTTTTCTAGTATTAAGGTGCAGTAACTTCTCTAGTAAACTGGGACAACCCCGGTTTTGAGTGGCTGGTAATAATAAAACTGTGAAAACAAGTTCGTGATTAAGGAGAATTGTTCTGCACTCGGCCCATTAATGATTTATTCACGACTAAGTGAGTCAGTATAGTCTTTTATGTAGTGTAGTGTAGTATTTTCCTAAACAAGTGACAATTTATGCCTCTCTTTACTGTTGGCAGGGATCATATTGGTTAAAAATAGGGACACCTGGGACATTTCTTGTATAAAACTAGGACAAATCACTGATTTTGTATAAATCTCCTGGAACAAAGGACACAGGGCTCAAAACTGGGACTGTCCCGTGTAAATAGAGACATCTGATGCAATAACATTTCTAATATAAAGGTGCACGTCTTTAAAGAGCTGTTATTGCTTTGCCTGGCATTGAACTTTTCTAAGAAAGTGACACCACCAGGCCAAGGTACAGGTCAGATCTGTGAAGAGAAGACTCTGCTAAAAGTAAGAATGCAAGTTTTTCAGGGCATTTTAGAGCAATGAATCCACCATTAACTGAATAAACGTAAGACAATTTAAAACTGTGTAACATTCGAGCCAAGAACTCCTGAGCGAGAACTACTATTTCGAGATGATAGACTTGATAATTTACATTAATAATTTATGCATATCCCATTCCTACATATTTTAATGTGAATGGGGTAAGAATGTTTAACCTAATTATTGTACGCGCACAGGATGGGCAGAGCACGATACTGAACACACAGGTTTGACAGACACTACATAAAGTAATAGTGCTGGAATGCAGGGAGACGAGTTCAATCATTGGACATTCAGAATCATCTTTTTGTGAAGTGTCTCTATAAAGCTTACGAGCAAACTTCAACCAAGAGTATCAGACAAATCTCAGTTAGAAAATGTTCAAATGTAGGTCATAAAACTTTTATAACATTACTATGACTCAATAACTGATACACGGCAACAAAACACAGGTCAAGTGTACTGAACACCTTAGATAAATGTGTTTTCTGCATTTGACCCAAACTTCAGTATCAGTCTTGAGCTGGTCTTGGTCAGGAGCACCTTAGTTGGAGGATTGTGCCTATTTTGCATATTTTGAATTGATGGGTGAAACAAGAGCACCCAGAGGAAACCTAACCTTTCACTGCAAGATCTTGAGATACTCCCGCTGTAAGGTTCAAATTTGCCCAGCAACGAGTGGACCAATCACATCGCAGCACTGAGGTATGTGTGGAAGCCAAAGGTGAAGCGCCCAAACGACCCAAAACAAACATGGCGACACTGACAGACGCACTTCAACCTATTTTAGCGAAAATACAGACTGTTTTGTTTGTGAAAAAAAACTGTGAAGAGGAAGATGTCTGTTCTTTTCTCAAAACTGGATGTAAATAAAGTTAGATTTTTCTGCTTATTCCAAGCCCCGGGGTTTCAAAAGGTTTCAAAAATTCAAGTCAGTGGGTCGAGCTCAATGGCGCATGATCACAGATTCGCCTTTAGCCCGGCGAGGTACTTTTGGTGGCTTTGGACCGACCGAGCATGTGCGGTACTGCTCTTTTATTCCATGGGCACACACGAATGCAGTGTAGTCTTTTATATAGTGTAGTGTAGTGTAATATAGTATAGTATAGTATAGGGGTGTGCAAAAATATTGAAATATCGATATATCGTATCGCTTAATGTGATGATACAGTATCGATATCATGGGCTGCTATATCGATATATCACCAAGAGTATTTTTGGTTTATTTTACTAAATAATTTTGTTACAGAGCTACAGTTTTGGTGCTTGTTTAGAGGAAGGAAACTTTTTTATGTGACGCATTTGACATTTTCACTGTTTTGATGATTCAAATGTTTGTGTTTCATATGAACTTTGCACAAAAAGTGGTTTAACAAAGACTTTTAGTATCACAGACATGATTTAGCCTTTATTTTTATTGAACTGTATCAAATCGATTTGAAATATATCGTATTGAATCGAAAGCTCACTGTATCGAGATATGTATCGTATCATGGCCTATGTATCGAGGTATGTATTGTATCGTGGCCTATGTATCGAGGTATGTATCGTATCGGCAACTTCTTAATGATACCCAGCCCTAGTATAGTATAGTATAGTATTGTATTTTCTTTGTGTTTTGGTCATTTTTAAGCAGCTTTTCTGTATTTTACCTTAACAAATGACAATTTATGTCTCTTTGCTGTTGGCAGGGATCATATTGGTTATTGGTTATTGGTTGAGCACACACACAAACTACGGTCTCGTGTATCACGTGATCGCTTTGACCAATCAGAGCCAGAGGAGCTAGAACGGAGCCGGAGTGAATGATTATAAAGTTGTTTTTTTTAAGACAACTGAAGGATTTTGAGCTGAGAAAAAGTTTATGATCTAAAAATAGGTAAAAATCACCACAAAATTTGACATTTTTGAAAGCTGTAGGAGCCCTGTCTGCTGAACACGAGCAGTTTGTGATTACATCCTTTCTCGTCCCAGGAGATTTTTTCCGTTGAAGCACCAATGAGTGACCATTACATCAACTGGAGGCAACTACAAGCAGTAACACCCTCCAGTTATTTTAATAGATCCATAGTTTATTCGGCTCGTTGTGGCGCTTCGACCAATCAGATTCAAAAGCTTTCAGTGGGAGCTGTTCCAAATCTCAGTTCAGAGTTTTACACATCAATCTAGTGCGAGCCAGGCTAAAGGAAACCCACAAAGACAACAGCAACAATTTCGATTATTCTTTCCCAAATTCCCAAATAATTTCCCTTGTGGATCAATTGTCTAAGTCTAAGTCTTTTCTTATTATTGCAGTGAGATGGGAGAGGCTACTGTGGATAATAATGACTGAAATGTAGAATTTAAATCCTTTTTGGGAGGCA